TCACTCAGGACAGGAGAGGTGGTGTGTTGCGTGGAGTTACTGGGTACCAAAGCCAGCTCAGGTCAGGTCACTGCTGCACTTGCACTGCTTCTTGTAAGGCTTGTCCTCCACTTGTTCGGGTGGTTCCTGCTATAGTAATTTCTATAACATGCAACTCAAATCATGGGTTACAACAATTTAAAGGTGTTTCCCTTACAATCTCCACCCCTGGTCCCTTTGGGCCAGGTTATAGGGTTTAACATTGCAATGAACTCCTCCCCTTGCTCCTAGCCTGGCTAGCAACAAGGGGTTTCTGCTATAGTAATTCCTATAACATGCAACTCAAATCATGGGTTACAACAATTTAAAGGTGTTTCCATTACACCTTTAGAGGTCTCTTCCAACCCAAACTATTCTATGACTATTCTATGATTCTATAAAAGGATAAGGATTATATGTAAAGCTGTAGAAAAATTCTTGTCTTTCCTCTATATAAATAGTATAAATAACCACTACACCCCTCCTCCCCCATGCATCTCTCAGTCCTCCTTTTGAGAAAAATTTCGGTGTTGTAGATATGACAGAGCTCTCTATCATATGCCAATGGTAGAATTTTAGAGTGGAGTTTTTCCAGGTATCTCCTAGTTCAGGAGAGTATGGTATCACATTGTCATAATAGTAAAACTTAAAAATGATCAGTAAGAGACAGTTTTTAAGAAAATGAAAAAGAACAGAAAACTATGTGTGAGAAATAAAGTAGTATCTTGGTGTAAGATGTAAATATCTGTTCTAGTGATAAATTAAGTGGGTTGCTCATAGTGACCTGCTGTTTCTGTATCAATTTCCTTCAAAAGAGTTTTGTTGGGATTTGTAAGTAAAATACATTTTTTCCACATCTGCTTAGTCTGAAACATGCAAATAGGAGTTTTTTAGAGCATTTGACCTGTTTGTCAAGGTTGTTTATATGCATAGGAGAGATAATCTAGTCTGAACTTTTGAAGGTAAATTAGAGACCTTCAGAGTTTCAGTGTGAGACTTGCTGCTAAAACTTGGTGGCGTTTGGAAATGTCCTCAGATGAACAAAGGTAAACTTTGCATTTGGCATCAAATTTGTGGGTTTGCTGTAGTAAGAGGTCTCTTCCTTCACCCTTCTTGAATGTATGCGAAGACATACTCTTTCCCTGGAGGGATCAATTTCATAATAGCAGTATGTTGTAAAATGTGAAAGATGTTGAAAGCTTACTGTAAATTTTTTGGGAAGCAAGAGTACAGGAGGCTGATTCTGGGGCATCTTTGTTTCTTGGGCTTTTTAGTGCCAGTTTTATTTAACTTCTCATGACTGCGTTTCAGCTAGTCACCTCAGGTACCTTTTCAGGATGCAGTCAGATCATCAGGAGGGGGTGAGTCACCCTGTGGAACTGCTGGTTTCTCTCTGTTATTCTAAGGGTTGTTCACAGTAGCTGGCTCCCATGCAGAGCTCCACACTTAGCTGAAGTGAGGAACGTGGATGCTTGTCTGCTGCAGCCCTACCGGCAGTTTTGTCTATTACAGAAATTGTAGTGTGTATTAGTACGGTGTATCTAGGACAAAATTTTATTCCACAAGTAATTAACTGATTGATTTGCAGTTTGCATTCAAGGGCAAGTAAGGTATATATGTTAGAGAAAATTATGCGGACATAAAATTAAGAAAACAATGGGGTGAATATGTGTGTCATAGAAGATTAATACAGTGTTTACAATTGAAGCAGTATGCTTGCAGTCCGTATAAAGGATATTCTTTTGTTCTGAGCTACATTAAGGTTCTGAAATTGGTTATTACTGGTGATATTTCAGCATCTTAATCTGATCTTTGACATCTTGGTTCTGGGCAAGAAACAGATGTAAATCATTCCAAGGGGGAAATTTACACTATCGATAATTATAACTGCTAAATAATCTGTCTTAGCAGAGTCCATCTTGTGCTAAAAACTGTTTAGATATTCTATATAATAACAAATCAATAAAGACAATTGGAAGAGAAGCAGATTAGCGAAGCTTGTGAACTACTGAACTGATGTAGATGTTTCATTATCCAAGAAAGTTAATTGGAAACACCGTATCAGCACTGATAATATCTTGTGATGCCACTGTGTCATTCAGCTGAGTGCTAACTTAGGACCAAAGCAGTGTACTTTTCTTTTGGTTCCTGCTCCTTTGGAAACTGAAGGGGGAGAAGACAACCTCAATGATTCTATGATTCTATGATTCTATGGTGAGGCAGTAGTTCTATTTCCTTTTATTTTTAAGAAGGAGGAAAAAAGACAAAAGTTCAAATCTGTAGTTTGGCAGGGGAACTCGGGGGCAACCATAAAATATGCAGCTACTTACATCCCTTCTTAATTTGCTAAGCACTCAAATACTCAGAACTGTACTCACCAAAGTTAATAGTTTCTTCTAAAGTGCATATAAAATATCTTGGTCTACTTTGCTTTCCTTTTGTCGGCATCAATGGAAATTTGAACCTTTTTTATTAGAAATAAAAACTGAGATTGTCAAGTAAACATGTAACTCACAATTAGGCTTCCAAAGGAAAAACAGGTGGCTGAAATAATGAGAAATGATATTACTGGCAACTGTTTCTCAATTAAAATAACACAAGTTATTGTACTATAGAAGAGCATTGTCTGCATTAATAAAAAGTTTTGAGCCTCGTAAAAGGTTTTTATGTGATGAGGCAATTGTGACTTGTTCTGTTTTGAACAATAATTCAGTTATGCATACATAACTGAATGTGCAAATGTAGAGAGTTGCCTGCAATGCTGAATATCTGTTTCATTTTAGCTGTTCATCTATTTCTACTGACTATCATTACAACAATGTTGCTCAACCTGGGTTCTGCAAAAGCACCCATCAGTAACTTCATATAGGAGGGAAACCCTGTATAACCCTGTATTGCTTGTTTTGGGGAATATTGATATCAATTATATTGGCATGTAAATGACTGCAAGTATTGTAGAGTTAAGATTTCAAATACCTTGGGAAAAAATAGTAGTCTCTGAATACAAAAAATGGAAGTTAATGACTTAATAATGTAAAACAGGCAAAATTGTGTTTTTAAAATACTGTAGGGGGGAAAAAAATCCCTAAAACTGAATATCTGTGATGAAAACTTGAAGGAAATGAGACCTAGAATTTGAAAATGTTAATAAGCTGTGATTTATTAGCTGTGTTTGAGAGATTTTAAGTTGCTATTAGATATTTTCGTTTAGGCTTAAGTTACAAATGTGTGGTCTGAAGAAAAAAAACCAAAAACCTCTGATATGGCAGTTATCTGTATTCACCAGACCATACCATTTACAGTGTCAAAATACCACTTTAAGGTTTTGGCTTCAGTTTCCCTTTAACACGGGTTTGATTTCAGTAGGGAAAATGAGGTAGGTACACGAGCACTGATCACAGTCCCTCGAGTCCTTGATCTCATCTTGGTTTATTATTTGCAGGTTATGTTCCCATCATATATTCTTAAGCTTTCTGCTTTACTTTCTAGCCTTTTGGATAATAATGACAGGTAAATTGTTACTG